GCCGCTGGCAGATGCTGTCGCCCGTGCTGCCAGGTGCTGCCGCGCTCTTGTGCGGGCAGGCCCCGGTGCCCTCCACGCAGTGCCCTGCGGCCGCTGCCGCAGGGCGGCGTGCCCCACCGCCAGCTGTTGTTACGTCAAGTTCGTGTCGTGCCGACTCCGGCGTTGGTCTCTGACACCGCGGGGATCGTTCAACCTTGAACGATCGGCCATTTCCGAAACGTCCAAATCGTTCCACATCGAACGATTCTGGGTCGCCAGCGGCGTTCAACGTTGAACGCCGCTGGCAGGGTCGCCGCTGGTCGACACGACGCGAACCTATCGTACGGGAGCTGATGCTGCCGGTGCCCAGGATGTCGCTCTCGCGGCGGTCGTGGTGGACGGCAGCTTCTCCGTGGGCCACCGAGCGGCATCAGTGAGACGGCCTGCCCGCAGGCCTCAGTGGGCGCCTCGACGTGGCGACGAGCCTTGGACAAGCAGTCAGACCAGATTTTAGATGCTCATTCTGGGGACCTTCCTGCAGCCATTCGCTCCACTCGTGCGTCGAAGCTGCGTCGAACCTGAGTCGAACCTGAGTCGAATCTGAGTCGAACCTGATTCGAACCTGAGTCGAACCTGAGTCGAACTCGAGTCGAACCTGAGTCGAACAGATCCATTAGGTGGCCCCCAGGAAGGTCCCCAAAACGAACATCGAACAGATTAGTGTCGACGTTGTTAGCGACTCCGGTCTGGCGCTGATGATCTGGAAACTGGAGTCTGTGCGCGTTGAGGACATTGCGAACGAGCCGTTCAGGGTGCGCGTCGCGGTGGCGAATCTCGACCGCGCTGGAGCAGCTGAGGCGGCGTACTAGTCATCACCCCGAGAAGTCCCGTGTTGGATTCACTCCTACAGATACGCTCCTTGTTTCAATGTTCTCGTGGTCCTGATGAACGACCAAGGGATTGACTTTGGCATTGTTGGCGGTCCAGGCTCCCATCATTGTGAGCGCATCTTCTCTGAGCCTGCTCATCCAGTTTGCGTGGAGTGGGCAGAGGGCAGACTCATACCGATTGACGGTGTGGTCAGTGATTACGCAGGAGCCATGCAAGAGACCTCACTCAGAAGTCTGGAAAATCCTAACGCTCCTTCCCACTAGGTCCACTTCGTGTCTGAACGTTGGAGCCGTGTCGCGCATCTGCTTGACGTCGATTGAGTCTGGCTGTTCGGTTGCGACACAGCCCCGACGGAAGATTCCATTAATATCTGTACTGTTCTGCTCTCTCGACCGACGGGAAGAGATACACGCGCCCCCCGCTTCCGAGCCGCCCCTGCGCGATACCTGACACTTGAGGATGCTCAGTCGCGAGGCCCCGCTTCGCCTCTGCTCCCGAGGCCAGCTCGTGGCAGGGAGCCAGTCGGGCCCCACCCCCACCCCTCTCTGGCCTCCGCTGGTCGCTGAGCAGTCCGTAACTCAGCGAGCGAAGAACGGTATAAAATACACTTTTTCGCTGTCGGGGGCGCCTGTCCCCGGGCGGCTGGAAAGTTTATACCCCTACGGTGCCACCGTAAGGGTAAAAACTTTCCAGCCACCCAGGGACAGGCGCCCCCGACAGCGAAAAAATTGATTTGATACCGTTCTTCGCCCGGTAACTAGCTCCCGGCCCCAAAAGAGAAGGCCCACCATCGCACAGCCGTCGCGCAAGAAGCCCCCCGCCCTCCACAATTACTCAATATGAATACTACTCTCCTCCTTCCCCTGATGACGGGTTGGGAGTGTTCGCCCCCCCCCGCGTACTGTTTTTTTACACACAGGATTCCCCGGAGTTGGGCTTTCGCCTGCATTTTTTCCAAAATGCTGCTCTCGCTGAAGCGCCGGCCTTATTTTCGGGCCCCGCTCGTTCCGAATCGTGCTCCCGCTGCAGCGCTAGCTTCATTTCCGTGCTTCCGCTCGTTCCGAATCGTGCTCCCGCTGCAGTGCTGGCCTCATTTCCGCGCTTCCGCTCGTTCCGGATCGTGCTCCCGCCGCAGCGCTGGCGTCATGTCCCGCGCCATGCCACGGCATGCAATGCAATGCTAGGTTGCGGTCCGCTGCGCGATGCCATGCCTTCAGCTGAAGCTGTGATATGCAGTGCTTCAGTGCCACGTCGTGGTATGCCATGCTACGCTTTGATCTTCAACGCCATGCTAAGCAATGTTATATTCGGGGCCGCTGTGCGATGCCATGCTTTGCGTTGCAAAGCTGTGTGATGCAATTATTCACTACGCCACGCCACGCCATGCTGTGACATACTACGCTTTGCGGTGCTCTTCTACGCCATGCCACGCCGTGCTCTACAATGCATCGCGTACCCTTTCGGGATCATTGCCCTGCTCAACATCCGACTGTGCGAGAGAGAGGGGATCTGCGCCATGGTAAGGGATGGGAGGGAGGGGTTGGATGTCAGATATGACGCGAGCGCACCTAGCTTGTCTCCTCCCCCCTCCCCCTGCTCCGCGTGCAAGAGCGAGCTTTCTACCCCGGGCCTTGCACCACTGCAGCAGCTCCTGCAGCCCAGTGTTCTGCGGGGCCTCGCTCCGCAGGGCCCCAGGCAGCACCTCGAACACCTTCTGGCGCACCTTCGACTCCGAGTCCTCACCCAGGGCTCCGAGGCGAGAGGGGATGCCGATCTCCCTCCCTCCCTTCCCTCCCCCGCAGTCGCCCCTCTCCCTCCCTAACCCCAGGCTGAGTCCAAAGAGAAATCCCCCCCGCCCCCACCCTCTCCCCCCTTGTCCCTCCTACCCCTCCTCTCCTCATCTGGCGCCTGAAATTCACGGGCGTGGGGGGGTAGACCAGGATGAGCAGCCACACGACCCCCACCCACAACGATCAGATCCGAAGGCTGTTTGTGAAGATGTTTGAAACCGTGCCCATCTTCGGGCCATGTGTAGACAATCCGTGACTGCAAGATGTGCATCTTGGACTTGCGCGCACCCAACATCCACTAAACAAACAGGAAGCAATACATAACACATAATGTCGGATGCTACATCGAGGACATATTAAAGTGTGATGAGCACGCCGCTTCGAGGCGAAAGCGGGAGGCGAAAGTGGGAGGCCAAAGCGGATCGCCTCCCACTTTCGGCGGTTGACGGTTGTGTTTAGGTCCGTTTCTGTCGTGTTTGGGTCTTCCTTGTCGTGTTTGGGTCCTCCCTTTTTGCGTGGGTCTGTGAGTGTGCGAAGGGGGAAAGAGAGGGGAGGAGGAGGAGGAGGAGGAGGAGGAGGAGGAGGAGGAGGAGGAGGAGGAGGAGGAGGAAGAGGAGAGGGAGATCCTGCGCGGGGGGTGCGCAGAGAAAACAAGAACCCCACGGTGGATGCGGGGAACATTTAACAAACTGCTTCGCAACGGATTTTTTTACAGCGGATAAAAACAGACAGAAGTCTGCGTTCGCGACCTGGCGATTTCTCAACAAACCCACAAATCTTGGAACGCGTCCATCACATGCGACCAGACGGGCCCCTCGCGCGCGCATGTCCAAATCATTCGAACACCCTTGCGCGCGTGCTGGGAAAGAGCGACCCCTGTCAAAGAGTACCATGCGAGCCACTCGCGTGCGTTGGCCGCGCGCGCATGTCGAAATCCTAACGCGAGAATACCATCATCGCCACTGGCATGATCAGCATCGGCGCCGTCGTTGCCCTTGCCGTCGTCATTGTCCTCATCGCCACCAGCATCGCTACTATCATTATCGTGCCTGCCGCTGCCGACGTCGCCATGACGCCGCGCCCGCCCGAGTCACCGACTCGCACCGAAGTGCCCGAGCGTCAGCGCGGCCTGCGAGACGCGCTGGGAAGTCCCCAATGGTCAGCGGTCAGCGCCACCGCGGCCGCGTCAGTCGCGTCAGACTAACTAGCTGGGCGCTCTGCGCGCGAGCCTGCGCGCTATCCCGACCGCGGCGATGCGCCAGCCAGCGCCGAGCAGTCATCGCAGTGGCCGCCGCCTGGATGTTGCAAACCAAGTTGCGGGTGGTGGGTGGGACGGTTGCGCCAGCAGTGGAAGTTGAGAACAACAGGTTCGGTAAGGCGCACTGCACAACGTAGACTGCACCACATACTCCAGATTTCGTAATAAAAGGGAGGGGGTCTGGACCCTCCAAGACAAGCCATTTCAGACCCCCCCCCGTGGGAGAACCCTCGAAAACGTCGTCCCCAGACCCCCCCAGGCCCTCCAAGATGGCCTGGAAGAGACCCCCCCCGAAATGAGACCCCCCGCCCTTTTATTACGAAATCTGGAGTATCCGCCGAGCGCCTTCAGCACGTAGCGGCTTGCCCCAATGAAGGGGCCCCAGGACACACAAATAAATACACACAAATCAAAATATTCCACATACTTTCCTATATTTTTGGGGGTTCTGTCTTCCCCCCCACTTCCCATAGTTTCCGATATCTTCCTGGGAATCGACGATTCATTGTGTCTGTGTGTTTTTTCCCTCCTGACCCTCCTCCTCCTCCTCCTCCTCCTCCAACTCCTCCTCCTCCTCCTCCTCCAACTCCTCCTCCTGTTCCCTCCTCCTCCTCCTCCTCCTCCTCCTCCTCCTTGTCCTCCTCGTCCTCCTCGTCCTCCTCGTCCGTCCAAGGGGCTGCAGGATCCGAAGGGCCCGGACCACCGCGAGCGGCCTCTGAGTTCTCGGGCGCCGCCGCGCGCTGCAGGGCGCGGCCGGCGCCTGCTCCCGTGGGCCCCCGAGGAGCCAAGCCCGCCCAAGGCGACCCACGCGTGCCCCCAGAGCCTTCCAGCAAGCGTTCAAGAAGGCTTCGGAACCCTGTGAAGGGGCCCCAGGGCACACAAACAAATACACACAAATAAAGAGATTCCCCCTCTTTTCCTATATGTTCTGGGTTTCTGGCTTCCCCCCCGCTGCCCACATTTTCCCATATTTTCCTGGGAATCGACGATTAATTGTGTCTGTGTGTTTTTTCCCCTCCTGACCCAAGCGTGCCCCCAGAGTTGGATGCTCGTTCTGGAGACCTTCCTGGAGCCACTTGCTCCACTCGTGCGTTGAAGCTGCGTCGAGCGTCAGTCGAGTTGGGTCGACCCTGAGTCGAACCTGAGTCGAACTTGACTCGAACTTGAGTCGAACTTGAGTCGAACTGGGGTCGAACAGATCCGTTAGGTGGGCTCCAGGGAGGTCCCCGAAACGAGCATCGAACCAGAGCCTTCCAGCAAACGTTCAAGAAGGCTTCGGAACCCCGGACTGCTCCAAGGGACCGCCCTGGGCCTCTCCTGCGGGGCCACTCGGGCCGCCGTGGAGGCCCCGGAGGCCAGCTCCGGAGGCCAGAGCGATGGCAAACACGGCGCGCTGTGGTGCCACTCTCGCGTGCGCTGCTCTCTGGTACTCGGCGCCAAAGACGGCCTAGGATGAAGGGGCCCCAGGACACACAAACAAGTACACACAGACACAGGGATTCCCCCTTATTTTCCTGTATTTTCTGGGTTTCTGTCCTCCCGCCCACTTCCCGTATGTTCCTACATTTTCCTGGGAGTCGACGATTAATTGTGTCTGTGTGTTTTTTTCCCTCCTGAGTGTAGTTTGGCGCGAGAGGTTTGGGTGGGGGGTCGGAGTTAGGAAGGGAAATCGAGGATGAGGTGTGTCTGTGTGTTTCTTTTCCTCCTGATGGGAGGCCCTCGAGATCCGCCCAGGCGGCCATCCGGGGCCCCACGAGGGGCGAAGAAGGGCCCAGGAGGGTGAACTCGACCCACCAAGATTTGGAAATTCCAAAGCTTCCACATATTCTAGAATTTCCAGAAAATCAAAAAATTCCAGAAATTCCAAGAATTCCAGAGATTCCCAGAAAACCCAGAAAATCGAGAAATTCCAGAAATGCCAGGAAAATCCAGAAACTAAACCGCGAAAATTCCTCGGCATAGCGGCCCGGCCGTGGCTCGCACTGCGATGCACCGTGTCAGGTCCGCCCGCGCTGGAAACGCTCCCAGGCAGCGCGCAGGGTCAAGGATTCTCCAGGTGCTCGGACTGCCGCACCCCGCCGGTGCGCGCCGTGCCGTGCGCGCCGCGCGCGCCGTGCGAGCGTGCCTTGCCTTGCGTGCTGTGCCGTGCGCGTGTAGTTGCTGTCTGGATCGGGTCGGGCGAAAGGGGGGGATAGCAAAGGGAGGGCTTGAGAATCAGCTCACGTAGCTGATTTTCCCGGCGCCTCCCGGCGCCGGAGGCGGCTGTGTATCGAGGAGTGGGCCCCTCGGTGAGGCCGAAACCAGCTGCATGCAGCAAATTTCGTAACCCCCCCTTTCGCAATCCCCCCCTTTCGCCCGGCCCGAAACTGGAGGAGGTCCGAAGGGATCGAGGCAAGCAGCCTTCGGCCAACCCCCCATCCTACACCTCCGCCATCACCCCTGTGAGACCTTCCGGTTCTAGTCTATCATGTGGCACACCCGCCGAAGCCCAAAATCTTCGAGCGTACCGAAGCCATCCATGGGAGCCCCAGGGTCCAAGCTGGCGCTCCGAAGGGCGTCATTGTGCCCTGACTCCCCCGAACGAGTGGCCGAGCGTACCCTCCTCCAAAGGCACAGCCCAGTTTCGAAACGCCGAGCCTTGTGGCGCCGGAGCAGCGGCAACGAGACCGATGCCTCCTGTGCAGCGCCTCCCACGGCCGCGGCCGCAGCGCCCCCCTCGACGAGCCGCAGGGCAACGATGTGGTTCGCCAGGACCATGAGCTCCTCCAGAAGCCAGCATACCCAGCCGAATAATGAGTGTGTGGTCTCCCTTTTGTTGACATCCACACCAACGCCCCCAGATCCCAGGAGCACCAGGGAAGGAGTGCACAAAAAGAAGAATATGTGGTCTGCAAGCGACACGAATCAAGGATTCATGGGGGACCGTGCGCTTCAAAACACATACATACACACACACAGCTTGGCGTCGCGGCCACGCGCGCGGCGGCGCGGCCAAGTGAAGGTCGAGCAAGGGAAGGCGCAAATCAGTGTGATTCAAAAACTGCTGTTCAACTGCTCGCCTGTTCGTTTGCGACTGGTTTTCGTGATCTCCGGCTGGCTCCAAGGCAGCCCACCAGAACTCCAAGAGGGGCACAAGAGGGCTCCAACACGCCCCAAGGGCGCTCAAGAGCGCCAAGAGAGGGTCTCAAGAGTGCCTCAAGGGGCGATGCTTCAGCCTCCGACCGTGGCGGGGGGGGACAGGGGGAAGGGCATCCAAGATTGCCTCAGGAGGGCCCCAAGAGCCCACCATACCAGATGCACAGCAGCAAGATGCCCTAGTCTTGGCTGCTGACAGGAACATTATCCGAGACGCACGTACCTAAAAAAAATACGCGAGGCGACTATGTGCATGCTCGCTCCGTACAGAGCACATCGCGAGATCTATGGTCCAGGTCCGGGCCCCTCCTCCCCCACCACCATGCTGATGGCATCGCCGCCCCCCCCCTCGATGGGTCCCCCCCCTGTGGGTGTGGCGCCGTGGGTGTGGCGTGTGTGGCGTGGCACTGTGGTGCTCCAGGAGAGCTCTGGAGATGGTCGTCGTCGTCGCCGCCGCCGCCGTCGTCGGAGGGCTCCAGAGGTCGGCGCCGCCGCCGCCGCCGCCGCCGTCGCCGTCCTCGTCGTCCTCGTCGTCCTCGTCGTCGTCGTCGCCCTCGTCGTCCTCGTCGTCGTCGTCGCCGCCGTCTTCGTCGTCGCCGTCGCCGTCGTCGTCGTCGTCACCGTCGTCGTCGTCGTCCTCGTCGTCCTCGTCGTCGTCGTCGTCCTCGTCGTCGTCGTCGTCGTCGTCGTCGCCGTCGTCGTCGTCGAATCCTGGTGGGGGGGCCCGCGGAGCCCGTGGGCCCCCGACGCGGGATCCTACGCGCGCGAGCTGCGTGGCCCTGCACCTCGCCGTGCCTCCCAGGAGCCCACGAGCGCGGCGACAGCCCGCCACCCCCGCGAGGTCCCAAAGGAGCTGCGCTGCCTGACTACCTACCAGACCACCCCAACCCAACCCGAAGACCCGAATTTCGGGTTGGGGGGGGTAAGGGTTCCACATGTGTTTTTTCGATATTTCCCGGACCCCCCCCCACTGGAAATCGAGGGTAAATCTGAGCCTTCGGGTTGGGTTGGGGTGGTTTGGTGGGTGGTGATCCCTGGAGCCCGCGCGCAGCCCCCGAGGGAGCCACGAGGTCCCAAGCGATCTGCGCGTGGCGACAGATGCGCAGCCCCCGAGGGAGCAGCGAGGTCCCAAGCGATCTGCGCTGCCCTCACCTCCGCCGTGCCTCCCAGGAGCCCACGGGCGTGGCGCCAGTTTCGCAGTTCGCGGCCCCCAAGGGAGCAGCGAGGTCCCAAGCGATCTGCGCTGCCCTCACCTCCGCCGTGCAGGCGCGAACGCCACCACCACCACCACCACCATCAGGAAGCCCCAAAGCCTTCCAAGATGGCCCCAGGAAGGCCCCAGGAAGGCCCCAAGAGGCCTCCACGGTGGCCCGAAGAGGGCCATGATACAGACAAAATAAGCTGCCAAGAGGCTCCCATGCTGAAAGATGTGCGAAGGCATTTATAGTCGACTCTGGGTCTGCTCAGGCCGATCCCGAGCGCCTGTTTGGTGGCTGCCCCCCCATCCCTCTTTGTTCCACTGATTGCTCATACACTTCCCTGAGCAAGGCAACTCGCCTGAGCATTGCTTCTGGGTGGGCTGATGGGGATGCGCGAAGCGTCGAGAATCTGAAACGCCATTCGACGTGCGACCAGAGCTCGAGCAGACCTCGGGCAAACTCCGACCCCTGGAGCCTCGATCCCGTGGGCACCCTGGACCCCGGCTCCTCGATGAGCCGGTGCGATGCGGAAGCGGTCGACTCGAGCTCGAGCCCCTCCACGCGCCCGTCGGAGTCGGTCTTGAACGCGGGGGACCTCCGCTCGAGCACCACGGAGCCGCTGTCTATGCGGAGCTTGCGGCGCGCCGCGGTGACCGCCTCGAGGCAGCGAAGATCGCCGAGGACCTCCTGCGGTGAGGAGGGGGGCCCCGAGCAGACTAGGAGTCGCTCGGCGCGCGAGGAGGAAAAGGAAGAGGAGGAGGGGGAGGAGGATGGGGAGGAGGAGGAGGATGAGGAGGAGGAGGAGGAGGAGGAGGAGGAGGAGCTGGGGGGCGAGGAGGAGGAGGAGGAGACCTTGGGCCAGGGACACCTCTGGCAACGAGCTGCCGGCAGGCAGAGGCGAGGCAGGTCAGCAGGGCCGAGGGGGGAGGCGGAGGCGGCCGCGTCCGGTCCTGCGAGATGCCGTCGTCTGGGGGCCCTCCATCCAGGGCGGCGTCCACCTGGTGGTAGTCGAGGCGCGTACAGGTGCGGATGACCGCCTTCTGGATCCAGGGCGGGTCCTCGGGCACCAGGTTGCCCTCGCCGTCGAGGGTGAAGAAAACAGAGAACGAGAGCCTGTCGCCGTCGGGCAACAGCGAGCACAGCCCCTCACTCAGCCTCCTGGGCAACATGGGGTACACCTTCGTCCATGGTCGGTGGGCCACCCCAAGGCGATGGAGACCAGTCGGGTGTTGCTAGCAGTGCCCCTGGCCCCGGGTGCCCAAAGGATTTCTAAGGAGGCTCCCGCGGGCTCCAGAGCACCCCTCACGAGGTCCATGGTGCCCCCCAGGGGCGCCAAAATTGAGCGGAAAGCTGGGGGCACCTTGGGCCAGGGGCACCTTGAGCAACCCCCGAATCAGAGCTCAAGGGCAACCGGACAGACCCTCAGCTGCACGCAAGAGTGGCGCAAGGCAACAGTGGCCTTTGATGCGAAGCATCAGGGGGCCACAGCAGGGGCCAAACTGAAGCAATCCGAGCGCGCCAACCAGTGCTGGCAGGACCCCCGTGGGCCCGCAGCAGAGGTCGCTCCAGCGAAGGGTCACTGCGCGTAGCTGACGACCCTCCCTGATGGGGGGGGCACGATACCCAAAAGCAAGCAAGAACCAAACGGTGCTGACTGTCCTGTGGCCCTGGGGACTTGAGCAGGGACCGACCGTCCCGGCATTCCTATAGGCCTACCACGAAACGTTCTCAGGACCTGAACATGTTCTAAGAACAAACACGATGTTCTTAGAACATGTTCTGGATGTAATAAAACAAGACAGTCCCGACCAGAAATGGTCTAAGAACATTTCGTGGAGACCACGAAAGGTTCTTAGAAAAGTGTTTGCTAAGCCTATAGTAGACGAGCGCATTCCACTACTCGCCAAGTAGCTACTCGCAGATGACCTGGATCCGCTGCGGGGGATCTACAATAAATTTCATCGAATCAGACATGTGTTTTTCGGGCGTTTGCGAGTAGGCACTTTGCGAGTAATGGAACGCGCTCGGTGATATAGGCACGCCAGGTCGCTTCGCCACTGCTTGACTGTCCGGCTGCCCCATGGGCCCATGGGCGTGGCGGCCCCGAGGGTGGCCAGCCTGCCACGGGCCTTCGTGATCAGGTACACCGTGGTCGCCCGCCGCCTCGCCTCTGCGTCGATGGCGCTGTCGGGCCTCACAAAGTGCGTGACGTCTGCCACGTGCACGCCGATGCGGAAGGTGCCGGGCCTGGGGCCGGGCACCACGGACACCGCGTCGTCGAGGTCCTGCCCCCCTCTCCACCCCTCCTCCGTCCATCTCTTCCCTTCCCCCTCCCTTCTCCTCCTCCTCCTCCTCCTCCTCATCATCATCATCATCATCACCACCACAACCACCACCTCCTCCAACACCACCACCACACATCATCATCATCATCATCATCATCATCCTCATCATCATCATCATCATCATCATCATCATCATCATCATCATCATCATCATCATCATCATCATCATCATCATCATCGTCAACATCATCATCATCATCATCATCCTCATCATCATCATCATCAGCATCATCATCCGTGGCCACGTTGGCTCGAGATGCCAAGGTCCACAGCGGAACACATGGATTCATCTGATCCGAGGTCAGTCTTCTACGCTTCGCGGCGACACCACGTGTCTGTCGCATTACGGTCCTGGTACGCCGCATGCGCGTTCTCGGTGAGCTCGTGCAGGAGCACAGTTTGCGGTCATACGCTATGGCAGGTCCTGACGCTGGCGTCTTGGCTGCGAACACTGGGTGTTCAACCACAAGATCATCTACAATGGCGGCCGCTGCACCTGGGGCCGCAAGGTCAAGCTGTGGCAGCCAGACACGAGCACCACTGCACCGTGGATCAACAAGCGACAACGTCGTCAAGGCCTCTGCAGCAGCGCGCCGAACGACCTCTGGCTCGACGTCGGCTGACCCACCACCCCCGAAGCGTCCGAGGCCAAGATGCAGGAGCTTCTCCACTCCCCGAACGCCCCTGAGGCGCTTCCGGTCCCAGAAAGCGAGAGAGAGAGAGAGAGATATAAAAAAAACTTCAAAAACAAAAAAAACTTCAACCGAAGGACGCGTAGGAGGGGGTGCACACCTCCAAGGCGGCAGCCAACAGAGTCACGCAGGCTGCGCTGAAGGCGGCCTCCGTGGTCCTTCTTTGTCAGAGCGAGCTCCAGGAACCCCAGCTGGCCTAAAAGGAGCGCGTCACGGAGCAGCCACTGGACGAGAGCCAGTACCAAAGGCACTAACGGACCTCCAAGCGAAACAAGCTTATGTCACGTCAGCCGCAGCGGAGGTGGGCACCGCTAACAAGATCATCATCGACAACGATCTCTTCAAGATGCATGGCGCTCCGGAATTTGACCAGACGGAGGAGGACACCTTCAACGAATGCAAGACCCAACTGAGGGGCGCGAGGCCCCAGCTGAAGAAGGCGACCAAGCAGCTCCCCGATCTCCTGGCAGCGAGGAACGCACAGTCAATCGTCGCAGGGGTAAGGATGGTGAAGAGAATTCCTGGCCATCACAGCCCCAGCCAGCGGCGGTGGCTCCAGAGGCGCCGCCACCGACGCCGACTCAGGTGGACCCCGAGCACCCATAGGAAGCCTCGGGCGGAGTCGCTGGCCAGGGCGGCTGGGGCAGCGGCCGAAAAGGCCAAGCCCTCCTTCGCATCGGTGGCAGTGGATAGTGCTTCGTTTTTCGCCCCCGCCAAAGCGGCTGGGGCTCCTCCGGCAGCTGCTGCAGCCGCTGATCGGCTCCCCCGTGTCTAGCTCGAGCGTGGACTCCTCGGGCCCAGCAGTCGGCGAGGAGTATCCTCGCCATTCGCTGTTCTGCTCCAACGTCACCCAGTGAGGGCAATGAAGGGCAAGCACTACCAGATCGCCTGCATGGTGGGGACACGTGTTTCCGAAGGTAAAGCTCTTGACGCCATCGTGCAGATACATAAAAATAGCTGAATTCCTCACGCTGCAGTGCCCCTTCGCCTCACAATTCAGCAGATGGCGCCACCTGTGGCGCGATGGTCCTCGGCCGTAAGCTCTTGGCCACTTCCGCCTTCGACAGCATGCGGCTGTCGAGCATCCAGCCATGCGGGATCGACCTCTGCCACGGCATCGCAAGCCACTCGACGCGGTAGCGGTCGCCTTCTACGTGGAGCCGCACTACACCATCTCTGGTGCGGTGCATGAGAGGCTCGTCGCCCTCACAGCATGTCTGGAAATGCTGGCGGACCCCTGGATTGTCTTGGACGACTGGGACATGACACCGCAGCAGCTCGCCGAAGCAGGCTATCCACAGGTGCGGCATGGCTCTTCAATACTACCCTGGGAACGGCCACATGCGACAAAGGGCAGGGAACCATCATCGAGTACGCGGTGGTCCAGCAGGGCTTCGATCAGTCCATACCCATTCGCCGAGTCCATGATGTGCCGCGGGGCACGCATTGCGGATCAAAAGACTCAGCGGGGTGATCCGAAGCCTGGCGACATGCTCTCAGCCTGCCCACGGCATTGCCATGCCCGCGATGTTCCATCAAGCAGGCCGGTCCCACCAGCAAGTCCAGCGTACGCCGGCGTGCCCAACTTCTCACACGGCGCGAAAGTCTTCATGGGGCGATGTAAGATATATTTGGCGAGATGACAAGCATTGAAGGATTGATTCCTCACCCCGAGATAGTCGACGCTCAGATGGCAGCCTCTTCTGCTGCGCCCGTACTGCATCCCGCTTGACGTCTGGGGGAGTCAGGCGGGGTCGCACCACGAAGGTCAGGACCTTAGACAGTGGGTGCTCCTCGAGCCCACTGTTCAAGTCCATGTCGCCTACTGTGTCAGAACCCATCACGTCGCCACGGGCGTTAGAACGCACCACGTAGGCCTTGCGGACCAGACTGGAGATACGTTTGCGGCGTCGTGGGCTACTGACGTCAGCGACGACATTGGCTGTCAAAATGGGTGTGAACACGCGAGCACGCACCCGCAGATGCAAGGTCAAGGCCGATGAATGCGCTCCCATGGCTATGACTATGACAACGCACATATTGAGATGTGCCGCGCAACGCCCAGCTGGCCAGAATGTCAGAAGGGCTATAGGCTGGAGGTGTCCTACTGAAAAATACTATATGGGCTCTAGTTTTGAGGTTTGGCCCGACAACATGCTATTCTCTGTCGGCGATGGCAAGCAGCGGCCATGGCTGCAACGGGACACGCTGCTGGCAGGTGTCTTGCCACTCTCCTGTGGGAGCAAGCTTCGATGGTGTCGGCTCTGGTGTGCAACCGTGGCAGCAATTTCTACGAGAATGGATTCGGAAATTGCAGTTTCGACCTGGGCAGCACCAACGTATTCGGATAACCTAGTCGCTCTTGCTTCCCAAGCTTCCAGCGGCTAGCCCAAACATCTGGGTTCGGGTCACGGGACCAACAGGGGCTACCATCGCTACTCTCCTCGAGGCGGGTTGGGACCCGAAGCAGGCTGACCTCTGGCAACGACACCATAGCGAATATCGTGAGCAATGGTCTACTCCTCCTGAAGGGCCCGAGCTCGAAGACCTGAACTAAGAGCCCGTCACCGATGACTTCAGCGAGGAACTCCAGCAGCGGCTCTAGCCAAGCGCCCGCAGCCATGAGCCTGGCGAGTGGCTCTGAGATGAAGCCGACATGGTCTCTGCCCGCGTTTGGAAAAAATGTGTCCTGCCATGATGTAGTGTTGGGTCCTCAATGTGTGTTGTGTCGGGAGGTATGTGACCCAATAGTAGAGTGCATCATGCTGGCCATGGTAAAGTATGTGTATCTACACACACACACACACCTCGAGTTTGCACCAGATGAGACTCTGGTGATGGTGAGGATTTAGCAAGCCGCATGTGGCGTGGCCCAGCCACCAGTCACGGGCCCGAGGTAGAAGCCAAGAATCATACTTTGCCAAAGGCCGCTGTAGGATTCGGGCCGGACCCCGCACGTTGGCTGAGAGGCGTCCCCTGACTTGCGTCCACCACTCATTCCTTACAGCCGTGGGGCGACGGGGACGGGACGGTGATGATTGGCGGGGCTGCGCAAGGTAAGCCCACGGGACGAGTGCCGCGACCGCGGCACTGGATTCCTCGCCTTGCTTGGGGACGGCTCTGGGAAACCTCTGCAAACCTTGTTCGCTGCCTCGACCCCCGACGGGCCCGATTTGTGGCGACCTCACTCAGGCGTTTGCATGCCGCTCGAGGGCAAGAGGCATACAATCCCATGCACCGAGCTGACAAGTTGCTGTATCGCTCTCGAGTTGATTGGGGGTCCTCGAGTATTCATGACTGACCATACAGGTGGAGGCTCGTCCACAAGAAACCTTCCACAAGAGACCCAACCCTGAGATCCCAGGACGTCCATTCATGTTTGGTGTGGGAACGTCATGCTATCCATCGCAAAAACCTCCGAAACCCTCGAAACCCAAGAAAATCCAGGGCACCCTGGAGGCAAGCCTATGATTGCTTGCAGGTTGGATACGAAGTTGGGCTCAAAGGGCCTTCCGAGCACGAGCCCTGACCCCTGACCCTTGAGCTCCTGCGCGGAGAGCCCCTCGTTGGACCCCCGGCCGTGACCACCGAGTCGATCCCCTCTGGAGGGCAACATGGGAGCAGCAACGGCAGCTGCTGTACACAGTCGGCCGGATCATTGCCCCGGGGAACAGAGCTTGTGCACTTTGATATTTGAGATGAGGGGTCTCATCTTGGTGGGGGGAGGGATTCCCATCCCACCAAAAGAGAGACCCACCACCTCATCTCAGACCCGTTATTGTGTCTGTCGACCTTGCGGTCGACGCCTGGGCTGGCCTTGCGGCCGAGCAAGCCAGGGACCCAATCGCCCGCCTCGTCCCCCCCCACCACTGACGCCTGGGAATCGGTTGCGGCCCTGTTCCGTGCCCGTGGCGAGGCGGATTCCTTATCGGCATCGTCCACCTCCTCATCGCCGTGTTCCTCCTCCTCCTCTGCCTCCTCCTCCTCCTCGTCCTCCTTCTCATCCGAAGGCACCTCCCTCCCACAGAAGGGCGAGAAGGGGGAGAGGAAGAATGCAAGGGTGTCCAACCACACCTGGTCAGCCATACAGCCAACGTATTGCTAGACAGGACCCCGACAAAGTGAGAAGACATATTCTCCCTAGGTAAACATTCTCATGCTGAGAACCTTAGAAGCCAAAGGAACACATCCTTTGTTTACTTCAGAAACCCGACTGCATCGCGGAGGACGACTACAGGACTGCAGGATCCTTGGCGTTGGGCGGGTCGATCGTGATACACCGCAGTTGCCTCATGTCGGCGCGGCCAGCCGCCAGCTCCTGGCGGCACCCCCCTCCTCATAATCCTCCTCCTCCTCCTCCTCCTCCTCCTCCTCCTCCTCTTCCTCCAACTCCTCCTCCTCCTCCTCCTCCTCTTCCTCCTCCTCTTATCGCCACCATTATCAGCATTATCATCATCATCATCATCATCATCATCATCATCATCATCATCATCATCATCATCATCATCATCATCATCATCATCATCATCATCCTCATCAGCATCATCATCATCATCATCATCATCGCCACCATCAGCATCATCACCATCACCATCATCATCATCATCATCATCATCATCATCATCATCATCATCATCATCATCATCGCCACCATCATCATCATCAGCAGCAGCATCATCATCGTCATCATCAGCATCGTCATCAGCATCATCGTCATTATCATCATCATGAGCCTCATCATCATCAGCATCATCACCACCACCATCATCATCATCCCCATCTTCAACAACAGCAGCAGCATCATCAGCAGCAGCAGCACCATCACCATCATCATCATCATCACCAACAACAACGGCATCATCATCAGCATCAGCAGCATCATCATAAGCATCAGCATCCGCATCATCATCACCATCATCATCAACATCCGCATGATCAGCCTCATCAGCATCATCATCATCATCCTCATCATCATTAACTTCATCATCATCATCATCATAAGCATCACAGCATCATCATTGGATAATGCTCATCCTCCTGCGCCTCCTCCGTCTGTTCCTCCTCGTCCTCCTCCTCCTGATCCTCCTCCTCCTCCTCCTCTTCCTAATCATCAGCATCATCATCATCAGCAGCAGCATCATCATCAGCATCATCATTATCATGAGCATCAGCATCATCATCATCATCATCATCATCATCATCATCATCAAGAGAATCAGCATCAGCATCATCAGCATCAGCATCACCATCGGGATCAGCATCAGCCTCAGCATCAGCATCATCGTCAGCATAATCATCATCAGCACCATCCTCAGCTGCATCATCGTCATCATCAACATCATCACATCAGCATCATAAGATTCATCCTCATCATCAACATCATCAGAGTATTCAGAAGCAGTGGCAGCATCATCAGTATCAGTATCGCCACAACCAGTATCATCAGCAGCAGCAGCAGCATCGTCATCCTCATCATCAGCAGAATCATCATCATCAGCAGCATCATCAGTATCATCATAGTCGTCATCATAGTCGTCATCATTATCAGTAGCACAAAATCAGCGTCATCCGCATCATCCTGAGAATTAGCATCATCATCCTTATCATCAGAAGCATCAGCATCGTGATCAGCAGCGGCATCATCATCATCATCATCATCATCCTCATCAGCATCATCATCGTCATCCTTATCATCATCATCGTCGTCATCATCATCAGCATCATCAGCATCATCAGCATCATCCTCAGTATCATCATCATCATCATCATCATCATCATCATCATCATCATAATCATCATTATCATCATCATCATCATCATCATCATCATCATCATCATCATCGTCATCATCCTATGTCTACCCTTCCCCTGCCCCCCTTTACCTGTTGTTGGTCCTCTTCCTGCTCCCCCTCCTCTTGTTCATCCTGCCCCTGTTCTGCATCGTTGTCCCTCTTCTCCTCCTCAAAAGAAGTCGTTCCTCATTCTCCGAATCCTCCGCCTCCTTCATACTCCGATATCGCACCTACTCATCATGCGCCTCCTCCACCTCCGCATCCTCATCCGCAGCATCATCACCACCGACATCATCAACGACATCATCAATACGTCCCCTTGATTACCACCAGCAGCACCACTCACCATCACCATAATCAGAATCAGAATCCGTCGTCATCATCATCATCATCATCATCAGCATCGTCATTGTCAGCAT